GTAATGAGAGGATTCACCAGAGACAAGGGGGGAGCAGAACAAGCAGGTAGATGAAATACACTGCTGAGGAGAGCAACGGCGAGACAGGACAGGTCTGCTGCACCATGTGGATCACCTCCAGGGCGGGGGATCGAACTCACACTGAAGTGGCTGCAGCTAGCTTTCAGTGCTGCACTTTAGCCCACTGCACCACCAGGGAGGGCCCAAATTTTTTATTTTTTATTTTTTTAAGATTTATTTACGCATACAGAACTGGGGTATAGGCCAGAGGTGCAGGGGCGGTGAGAGGATTCACTAAAGACAGAGTGAGGAGCAGAATAGGCAGATAATCGAAGTACACTGCTGAAGGTAGCAGCGGGCGGGTCAGGAGAGATCTGCCGCACCATGTGGATCACCTCTGGGGCAGGGGATTGAACTCATGCTGAAGTGGCTTTAGCTTTTTTAGTGCTGCACTTCAACCCACTCCTCTACCAGGGAGGGCCCTCAACAAGTTTTTAATAGACTTTATCAAGCATACCATAATAGACAAACTAGTACAGTGAATTTCTAGGTATCCATTATCTAGTTTCCACAGTTAACAATTTATGCTTTCTGTATCTATCTTGATTATTTTGAAGCAAATCCCAGGCATATTGTTTCATTAATAAATTTTCAGTATCTCCAAGAACTCCCATTTTAAAGATAACATAATAACCACTATTCCTTTATGTTATCAAATGTCAGTGTTTACAATTTTCCTAATGTCTTATAGTAAATGTTCCTTTAAAAATAGTAATAATAATAATGGTTTTAAATCAGGACCCAGCAAGACCTGTACATGTTTCTTGAATATCTTAATTCATAGTGTTCCCATCATTGCAGTCTTTTTGCTTTGTTAGTTTTTGTTGTTGAGGAACAGTTCATTTTCCACAGTACAAATTACACCATGTTCTGTTCTTTTATTTTCTGTGAACATCAGATCTAGAGCAGCCCTTTTCAGTAGAATTTTCCACGAGGATACCAATGGTCAATATCTACACTGTGGCCAGTTAGCACTTGAAATGTGCTTTGTGTGACTGGAAGGGGATTTTTAATTTAGTTTTGATGTTAGTAGCCATTTGTGGCTACCATGTTAGCACAACTTACGTGGTTCAGAGTAAAGTCCATGTGCTTTTGTTTGTAAGACTGCTCTGTAGGTTGTAGATCTATTAAATGTAGGTTTTTATAGTAGCTAGTTACCTTAATACCTTAATACCTATGTGGTATTAATTGGCTATTAATAATCATTGCCTTGGTGGCACTAATAGATACAAATAGAAAGTTTGTTATGTGTTTTTTTTTTTGTTTTTTTTTTAATTAAAAAGCCAATATATCACTAAAAGAAAAAAACAATGTATAGAACTATTTAATATATTATCTTTTGTATAAGGCATGATAAAGAAACTTAAGAGGAAGGAGTTGGAATTGTTGGAATTAGATTTTCCACTACAGGTTCTTATGTGTCTTCTAGTTTGTGGGCCATGTAAATATTATATATCCAGAAAATGCCATTTAAATTTTTTTATGCTATTATTTTAAAATTCATTTTTTATTTCCTTAAGTCATTATTTATTTTGTACAATATTTAATTTCTCTCCTTAGTTATCCCACTACCATATCAGTAACCCATGAGTCACCACTATAGTCTTTGTGTTCTTTCCTTTTCTGTCTTGATCCCTTTTTCTCCAAAAAAATACATTTTTAGCCTTAGAATTATTTTCATTTTGAAGGCATCTGTTCACCTTCTTCAGTTTAGATTTTTTTTTGAAACTTGCTTCTTCTTTAGATCAGCTAACTTCCAAACTTTTGGTGTTAGGGTCTCTTTATTCTCTTTAAAAATTATTGAGAATCCCCAAGACCTTTCCATTTTGTGGGTTAAATTCAGTGATACTTATACTGTGTTAGAAATTAAAAATGTGAAAATTCAAATATTTTTAAATTTGTCAAAAAATAAATCCATTATCTGTTAACATAGATGTTTTTATGTAATACAACTTTTTCAGAATCAATTTAAATGAGAGATAATGGCATTGTTTGCAGATTTTATGTGTAATATTTGATTAATAGGAGATAATTGTATTTGCATAGCTGCTTCTGCATTAGTCTGTTGTGGAATCACATATACAGGAACAAAGAGAAGGAGAGACACTAAAACATTAACCCCATCAGAGTTTGACAACATTATGGATGGTGAAGTGCTATATTTCTCCCTCAGAATTTCTTGAAACTTAGTACAGTAAAATAAATTTTAATGCAGCATTTGTATAGTTACATCTAAATGGTATTGCTTAAGTTAGTACTAATAAGCACAAGAAGAAAAAGAATATTAAAAAGGTGCCTCTGGACAAATATGTGCCTCCTGATTAAATGAGAATTAAAAGCAATCAGAAAGGTGTGACCTTACACATCCTTCTGAAATAGGAGGTCCCTGGATGATATTTTATTTGTTTTTTAACAAACTTAAAAAAGCCCCAGTTGATTTTTAGACATTCCTTTAAACGAGGAACTGATACTTGTTGGTTTCTCTTTGCACAGAGTAATGTTTTCACTAAATTAAGTATATCCCCTTCCTGTTTTTTCCAGATATAGCTGAAGCTCCTTTAAGAAATACTTCCTGACTATTTCAGTTGGTCAAGATGTAGACTTTCTCAAGTCTCTAGGACTTTTTGTTGGTCTTTGGATCCTATCTTATATGTTGTTTTATTCCTTACTTTCAATTTAACTGGAGCTCCCAAAGAAAACATTATCCCGTGTCCTTTTCATGTTTTTAGTGTGCATTAGGCCCTCAGATTTTTATGGTGAATTAGTTTTTCAAATGCCTGTTTATACACTTTATACCTAGAAATGTCCTGTAACAATTTCTTCTGTTTCCTAATACAAATGATACTGTGGTCCATGCAATGGCCTTGCAGTGGATTTTTTTTAATTGCTTTGGATGTAATAAAATTGTGTGTTCTAATGATTTAATGGTCATTGTTTAGGTAGAACTATCTAATATTTTATTTTCCTGCTGCTGCTTAAAAGCTTAGTACATTAAAACTGAATGTATATTAAAAGTTTTTTTGGGTTTCACAACTTTGAGAGAAGAACATTTACAGTATCTTTGGACTATTGAATCTTCAGGGATTTAGTCAAGAACTTGAATATACAGTCCATTTTATTTCAACTGAGAGGTGTGATGTTTTGTTGAATTTAATGTAGACCTTTTAACACAATTCTGCTTTTCTTTTCAGCTGTGGATTTTTTCAACCAGATCAATATGTTATATGGAACTATTACAGAATTCTGCACTGAAGCAAGCTGTTCAGTCATGTCTGCAGGTCCACGGTACTTACATACCCCTATTAAGTAGATACTTGAGTTATTGAAAAAAGCCAGTCATTAATTGATACATGTTAAATAATTAAGACTTTGTTTTTCCTTTGTGTTCACTTAAGTAAAAGCAGTTCAGTGTTACAAGTTCTTGAATGCTTACGGATAAGCTTTCATTGCTAATTAATACTTTGGTGTGTAATATTTTTTGTTTAGATATTATAATTGTATTGTAGTAGTATGAATGTTCACTTGTGGCAGTAAAAGTAAAGAAATTGGAGTTAGGTTTATCTTACATCACTAAAGTTTGATATTTTCAATTGTACTAACATTTATGGTTGTGTTTCTAGTTTATAAATGAAATTTTTTTAAATATTTATTTGCTTATGCATAAAAGACCAGGCCAGAGTTGTGGGGGATTGTGTGTGTGAGCGGAGTCACAGGGACAGAGTGGGGAGCAGAATGGGCAGATTGAATGAAATACACTGCTGAGAGGAGCAGCAGGCAAAGAAGAGGTCTGCTATGCCTTGTGGGTCAGCTCCCTGGCCAGGGATTGAACTTGTATTGCAGTTCAATAGCTTCATAGTGCTGAAACTTAATTAACCCATTATGCTACCAGGGAGGACCTAGTTTATAAATGAATTTCCTGAAAATGTTTACTTGACCTTTATAAAGCCCCACAATGAGTTTGTAGTCCTTTTTTCATTACAATATTTTGAGAGGAATGTCTATCTTGGCAACATTTTTTCCTCAAACTTCCTTAAAAGAAATTAAGTAAGATAAACAGGAAAATTAAACTTATTTAACAGTTCACACAGTGAAATTTTACATAAGTCTTGTTAGTCATTCTAGCTCAGCAAAAATTAGGGAAAGATGTCATGCCTGAGGGTGTTTCTTTAATACCCTTTCCACAAAATAGGGTTTTATAACCATGACTCTGTTGTGGATAACTTGATGGACAAAGATCTCAGAATGTGGTAGATCCATCAATCTTTAATCCAGCCCTTAACACCCTCTACCTAACAGGAATGCAGTTCTTTTATCTTTTCCCAAGACTGCTAAGAACTTCCAATTTGCCAGCTGGCAAATTATCTTCTTTTTTTTTTTTTTTTTTTCCAGTTATAACCATCACATTTCTTAAGTGATCATCAGTAGAACATTTGGTAATTTACTGAAAGTAAATACAACATCTGTTGACAAATTGTGGACCACTTTGATTACAAGTTTCATATTTGTCAATGTTTTTGAAAACATCCTTAGAATCTTTTTTCTCCCCAGGTATGAATATCATTGGGCAGATGGTACTAATATTAAAAAGCCAATCAAATGTTCTGCACCAAAATACATTGACTATTTGATGACTTGGGTTCAGGATCAACTTGATGATGAAACCCTTTTTCCATCTAAGATTGGTGAGTTATTGTAGAGCTGTTTTTCTTTTAAAATGGTGGTGGCCAAATTCCTTTCCAAAAAATCTTTTGTATTATCTGAAATCTAACTGTATATTTCTCTAGGCTTATTTGTTTCTTACCTGTTTCTTCATCAGTGCTGGTTATTACTTATTTTTTAATTCTAATTTGACTAAGTAAATTTGCTTTTTTCTCCCCCCAAAGATTTACTTATTTATGCACACAGGAACTGAGGTACAGGCCAGAGGTGTGGGGGTGTGTGTATGAGAATATAAGCAAAACACAACGATCAATAAACCAAGAGTGTCTCAATCTTATCTGTATTTTTATTTATTTATTTATTTATTTTTGCATAGAAGAACTGGAGTATTAACTAGCGGTGCAAGGAGTGAGAAATTCACCAGAGACAGAGTGGGGAGCAGAGCAGGTGGATTTACTGAGGAGAGCAGCAGGCGAGATAGGAGAGGTCTGCTGTGCCATGTGGGTCACCTCCTTGGTCTGGAATACAGCTAGTGCTGTAGTGGCTGTGGATAGCTTCATAGTGCTCTGCTTTAAAACAGTGCGCCACCAGGGAAGGCCCCAGTAGATTTGTTTCCCTGCACATTTTAAAAATAGTGATGAGGGCCTGCCTGGTGGCCTATGGATTATGTCTCAGGGCTGTCACTGAAATGGCCTAAGTTCCATCCCCAGCCAGAGAGCTAACCCACATATGGTGCAGCGGACCTCTCCTGTCTCGCCTGCTGCCCTCTTACCAGTGCATTTCAGTAAATCCACCTGCTCTGCTCCCCAAATAAATAAAAATATGGATGAGATTGAGCCACTTTTGGTTTATTGATCATTGTGTTTTGCTTGTATTCTTTGTGTTATATTAGCTCTTTGTCATATATGTATCCCCCCCCCCCAGGTTTTACTTTGTTCAGGAAGTGTTTTTGCTATATATAACTTATTTTGTCCTATTAATCTTTGCTTTTGACTTGTAGGTTGTAACTAATAATTAGAAGTTTTCTCTAATTCAACATTATAACAATATTTGTGTTTTTCATTAGTACTATTAAATTATCATTAAATTGTTTTAAATTTAAATTGTTGTTCCATCAGAAATTTTTTCCTGAATATACCTTTTTGTCCAAATATGGTTGCCAGTTTGTCCAGGAGTATTATCCAAATACATTTGTCTTTTCTGCTCTCATTATCATTTGTATACACCAAATTGCCACATATTTTGGAGTCTTAATCTCTATTTACTCCTGTAGAAATTCTATATTGTTATAAATACCAAGGCTGTGTAGCTTTAAACAGCTTGTAGGTCTAGTTTCTCTTCCTCACTCTTCTTTTTCAGAATTATTCACAGCTATTCTGAGATATTTGTTCTTCCAAAGAACTTAGAATCATTTTGTCAAGATAAAAAATAAACAAAAAACAGATTTTGATTATTATTTCATTCAATATCTAGATAATATAGGGATTCTTGTTCTCTTGACAATACTGAATCTTAAGAACAAGGTTTATTTTTCATTTATTGATGTCTTTTATTATTTACTCTTATGGAATTCTGTAGTTCAACTTTATGCTAAGCCTTCAAATTTTTTTAAGTTCATTCCTAGGTATTTAGTCTTTTTTATTGATATTTGTTTCCAATTGGTGACTTTTTTATATATGTTACAATTTGCCAGTTTTTGAGTGGTTCTGTTTTAGGTTGTTTTTCTCACATTTTTTCCCCTAAGTATGTAACACATGTTAAAATATTAGCTTTTTGTCTTCCTTTCTCATATGCATAGTTCTTGTGTACCTTAAATAATTTTACCAGCTGCTAGTTCCACAGCAGTGCTGGTGGTGGCAGATTACCCTTGTTTTTGTTCATGAGCATTTCTAGTATTGCAGTATTAAGCCAGAATCTTGTTTTTGGTTTAAAGTTAGAATTTCTAAATATCAGATCTGTTTGTAGAATTTTATCAGATACTTTTTCAGTATCTGTTGATGACTGTAAGATTTTCTCTATTTTTATTTTAATATTCTATTGGAAGAGTAGTTTTCATTTGCTGGTATTGATGGGTGAGATAATTTTAGGGTGCCTTATGAACAGCGTTTTGTTGGATTCTGTCCTGTTTGGGCTGCCATAACAAAAATACCAGAAGTTGGACTGATTATAAATAGAAATTTCTCATAGTTCTGAAGGCTGGAAGTCCAAGGTCAGGAGGCTCACATGGTTGGATTGTAGTGAGGACCCAGTTTCAGCTTGTAAAATTGTTGCCCTCTCTAGTCCTCTGATGTGGGAAGGGGCCAGCCAGCTTTCCTAGGCCTCTAATAATCAGAGCACTAATTCCAGTCATGAGGGCTCTGCCTTTTGGTGTCCCAAAAGCCTCACCTCCTTCCTAATGCCATTACTTAGGGGCTTAGGTTATCAGCAGATCAGTTGGGAGTGGAAGGAGGACGCATAACATTGAAACCATAGCAGATTAGGTATTTGAGTCCAGTTTGTTGCTCTTTCAGGAGAAAAATTTTTTATCATGTTGTGACACTTGGTCTGTTTGCTGTTTGTCAACTTTTCCAATCTGTTATTAAATCTTAAGTTCCCTTCCTCACAGTCTATTTTACTGTAGACTGATGGCGCTTGAATGTTTCTGTTAAAATCAATTTGGAAAATGCATGGATTTAAACAATCACTTCTATTTATTCATTAATCTCCCTCTTATGAAAGATAAATAAAACTGTCTACTTTTATTCTCTTCTTTCAGCTTTCCATTCTGCAATAATGCATCCTAATGTTCTGGAATCCTTTCCTCTCTCATTAGGTTATTTATGCCAATTCTTCATTTATATTAAACAACTACTTATTCATATTTTAATTAATATATCTAAGTTTTTTGCCTTTGCCTTTTTTCTTTTTTTTTTTAAGATTTATTTATTTATGCATACAGAACTGAGGGGTACAGGCCAGAGGTGCAGGGGCGGTGAGAGGCTTCACCAGAGACAGAGCTGGGAGCAGAACAGGCAGATCGACAAAATACACTGCTGAGGGGAGCAGCGGGCGGGTCAGGAGAGGTCTGCCACGCCATGTGGTCACCTCCGGGGCAGGCGGGAATCGAACTCATGCGGAAGCGGCTTTAGCTTCTCAGTGTTGTGCTTTAACCTGCTGCGCCACCAGGGAGGGCCACGCCTTTTTTCTTTTAAGCCTTGTTGCCTATTAGTAAATTCTAGGAGAGTAGGGCTTTGATTTTAAAAAATCTTCAACTTTTTAATGCACAAATACAAGATCCACTCCAGGTGCAGAATGAATTTTGAAAAGACAAGTTGACTAAGATGGGAATTGAAGGGGGAGTCCATAAAAGTCAAATTACAGGAGCTAAACTTCAAACTATCAAGGACTGGTTGAGAAGTAAGTTAAAGAAAACAAAATGTAGGGAAGGGAAAGTGTTTTAGCTTTTTTCCCCCTGAAATACTAAAGAAAAAGAAGTGTATCAAGAATGCTATTGTGAAACAAATCTTTAACTGGTTTACTTGGGTTGCAGAAGCCATATGTGTTCATTTATTGTACTTAGTATCAGTTGTATTGTCTTTCTCCCAGCTCTGTTTTCTAAGACACTTTGATCTTGTTAACCAGAATTCTCAGTAACTAAACCATTTGTATCCATATCCTCATTGAGAGAGATCACAAACCCTCTCACAAGTCTTTTCTAAGGAGGTATTTATTTTCCTTTGAAAAATAGAGCGGTATCCTCCTTCTCTTCAGGAAGTACACTCCTTTCTTGGATTACAGTAAAGTGAAGATAGCACATAAAAATTTTAAGTTGGGGGTTCCCAGTTTAAGAAAGAAAACCGGGTTTTCAAAGTAATCCAGAAGGTTAGCTGCTTTTTCCTGGTAACAAAAGAGTATAATGTCTCAAAAGTCCCCCACCTCCGCACCCCCCCCCTTTTTTTGCAGTCTGGTTGAGAGAATGTATGTGTGTATGTAGTGGTTGTGTAGAGTTACAAGTTACAAAAGTAAACATTTTATATTTATAATCAAAAAATCAAAATTTCTTTGCATATAACCTTAACTAGAAATGTTACAGTGTTAAAAATAGCTAAAATTATGTTTAATTTTGGTTCAGCCCATCTTATGTAACTTAGTGCCTGTGTCTATTATTCTAAGGCTATCAAAAAAGGGTATCTGTGAAGATAGCTCATTTACTAAGGTTTGGGCTTTTTTTTCCCTTTGCTTTTTTAAAAAATGTATGGAAGTGGTTCTGTACTTGTGAATATGAGATGTTGTGTATATGAATTGCTCATGGTAGGGTCTATAAACTTCTTTCATATTCAGTTGAAGGACTAATCAATATACATGTTGATTACAGGTGTCCCATTTCCCAAAAACTTCATGTCTGTGGCAAAGACTATTCTAAAACGTCTGTTCAGGGTATATGCCCATATTTATCATCAGCACTTTGATTCTGTGATGCAGCTGCAGGAGGAGGCCCACCTCAACACCTCCTTTAAGCACTTTATTTTTTTTGTTCAGGTATGTTGAACTATGTTTTTCTGTCCTTTAACTTGTATTTATTTGGATTGGCTTAACTTTAAAGAACAATTAATTTAAAAAGCAATATCTTATTTACAGATATAGAGCTAAGTATAAGTAGGGTTCTTTTCTCTTTGCCACATTGTTTATTTTATTGATTTGTGTAGCAACAAAGAAAGCATAACCCATATTTTGGGCTTTCTGCTTCTGGTTGCTCCAGATGTGTCTGGATATGGCGGGGAGTACCAAAAACCCACAAAAGCCTATCTGCACTCTTCTGTTCTGTTGCCACTCCTGAGCACACAGTTCAATGGAATAATATTTGCAATTGACTCTGTTTCATGAGATGGCTATGCCTAGAAAGAACTTGTCTGCTATCTTGGGTTGCGTTGTCAGATATCTCATACCAGGTCAGATTTTAGGTCGGGAGAGGTCTGCCACAACGTGTGGGTCAGCTCCCTGGTCAGGGATTGAACTTGAACTGAAGCACCTGCCTCTAGCTTTGTATGCTGTGCTTTAATCCACGGCACCACCAATGAGGGCCTGTATTTTTTTTTTTTAAGAGAATAAAAATAATACTGTTTTATAGTGTTCATAGAGATCATTTCATCATTCTTTAGTGTTCCAGAAAACGAGAGTTGGGAACCCTTCTGTAAATGACATTTATAAAAATTTAAATTCACATTCATTTACAAATTTTATTTTTCTTCTCTTTTTAGGAGTTTAATCTGATCGATAGGCGTGAGTTGGCACCTCTTCAGGAATTAATTGAGAAGCTCGGCTCAAAAGACAGATAAACGTTTCTTCTAGAACACAGTTACCCTCTTGCTTCATCTACTGCTAGAACTATCTCATTACTATCTGTTATAGATACAAACTTTAAAAAACAGTATAAAGACACCTATTGTCTGTGTGTACTGATAAAATTGTCTCAAAGGCAAGTTGGCCTAATCTTCATAGTGAGAAATTAAGGACACAGCTGAATTTGAGGTACTTTGTCACCACTTGTGTTATTTCAGAGTCATATTTGGTTGTAATAAGTGATGACTAACTTATAGCTTCTCAGTTTACTTATTCATATACTGAAATAAATGAGTTAGTCTATTTCAGGTGACAGCAATAATGGATATTTAAAATTTCCACCAATAAGTTATTAACAGGTTTCCAGAACAAATTTACACAGTCAGATCAGTTTTACTATGTTTCATACAGATAATAGGTATTTTAAATTTTCCTTTAAGATTTAGAACATTTGTGTCACTTTGGTAACTTTTGAATTTTAAGTTTGGATGGTAGTGTTTCTATAGATAAGGTTGTATGTATACTTTTTCAAGATCCATGATTGCAGCTTAAGTCATCTTCTGATTTTATCTGATATGGGAATAACCAAGGTTATTTTTAAATAACTTCCTTTTTTAAATCTTTGGGTTTTTTTTTTAATTCACATTTGTACATTTTTAGAAGTGTTTGTCTACCATACAGTTTTTTCAAAGCATCTAAGGGTGTTCTTATAGATTTTTATTTTGAATGCTTCATTCAGATTAATTTTATTATGTAGTTTTAACGGAAAAGACTTTTCCCCAAATTTAAGTATCAAAACCACTATTTCCATTCACATTGTTTTTCAGAGGCCTTAAAATTCTGGATAAGAGAATGGAAGAAAGTACTTAAGAGTATTTGATTATTTTGTCTTGAGTTTCCTTTTTGAAAAACATTCTTGTTTTTATTGTGACTTGAGACTAGTAGTGTAGAATGCACAGACTTTATCCCAATAAGGAGAAAACTTCAGGAAAAACACAATAAAAAATCTTAAAGATGTACACATTTTATAACATAGCTTAAGAGAAGTGTGTTACCTGTGTGTGTTTGTGTGTGTGTGTGTGAGAGAGAGAGAGAGAGAGAGAGAGAGAGAGAGGAAACAAAAATTGGGGAGAGTAAGTAAAAATCTTCATTTTGTTACTAGTTTAAAGATGAATTAAGCCCCCAATAGGGGTTGTATCCTGGTTTAATTGTTTTTGTATCAAAACTTGAAATTCTTCTATTGGGATCAAAAAAAAAAATCTTGCTCTTTACTCGATCTAATTTTCATTTGTTTTCAAGGATTTAGTAAATTCTCGGTGACTATTTAAAATGTATTGAGGCATAATTGTGCTGAAGACTTAACCAGATTGGCAAAGCTTTAAAGTTCACCAGCATTTTCTGTTTCAAAGATGTTGGGTTTTTTTGTTTGTTTGTTTGTTTGTTTGTTTGTTTTTTAACAGAGACCTCACAAACTTCCTTGATGACTTTGGTTAGGGTTAAATTTGATCTATATATTTTTTAATTTTACTAGAGTATAATGAAAAGAACTGCTTAGAAATCAAACTTTTATAGAAACTCAAATGTCAGTAATTTCTAAAATATATACAGAATTTTAGGGGAAAATTATGTTTAATTGAGGATGAAACAATACATCATTGTGTAAAGAATTAAAGAGTGAGATTAAAAAAAAGATTGAGATCATCACTTACAAAAAAAAGAGCTGTCCAAAACATTCCACAGTCCATGTTTAAGGTTATCCACAGGTACTTGTCAGGTGTTCTGTAGGTTTATATTGATTGTTTATTAACAAGAAACCAGGTTTCTAGATCCCACCTAATATGTGATTGCCTCTCAATTTTTAAATCTTTTTGGCTTTTTTTAAAAAGTCTGAAAGGAATGAAATTATATTTTGTCAACTAGGATTGTACTTTTCTTTATTTCCAAATCTTAAGATATAGCCAAACAAGAATTTTCATTTTTCTTCAGTGATAAAAATCCTCTTTTTTCATAATTTGGTTCTAAAACAAACCAAAGAAGCCCACCTAGTAGCACATCAATAAAAACAACTTAAAGAACAGGTTGTAATGAAAACTTTTATTGGTGATTTGAAAGTCCTTTTTAAAAAATAAAAACAATCCAGGTTCCCAAGTCAGTCTGTCTTAACCACAGTGCACCAAACATCAGTGTTAACACTTGTTTACTTTTAAGGCCAGGAGGTCAGGGCAGGAGGAGAATTGGAGGAAGGAGAGAGAATGGGCAGAGCTGGTGTCTTCCTGACTTGGCTGGAGAACCACCCTTAGATAAGAGTTAGAAGAAATCAGTCTGTCTTTGACACTTATTTTATCTCCCTGTGCCAGAGTCTGGCAGTTACACAACAATCACTCCCCTGCCATCTTCTAATCAGAGGCCATGCCTGCTCAATGTCACTTTTGGCTCCTCACACCTGATTACAACCATGGGGTGGAGTGTGCTTACTAAATTATGTAGTTAATCCTATGGTGCTTTAATTTCCAGGTCTTTAAAAAAAACTTCTGGACAATGATTTACAGATTTTTGTTTAAATACTGAAACTTGCTATGTTGCAGATTTTGTATTGACAGCCAGTTTTATCTTTTATTCTTCAGATTGTGAATAAAGTTGATTTTTCAGGGTTGTCAACTAACAAATTATTTCATCTTAGATTTGTAGAGCTTTAGATACTGTAGTTGCTTACTTGAGAAATGCAAATCCATCTTCATTGTGGCTTTGAAAACAGCAGAAATAGTTTTCCTAATAGTATAGAGGCAAGAACAAACCTGGTGGTCATTTAAACTTTTGCAAACATTGTTGAGGTTTCCTGATTATATTATTTGCTTTTTCACTGAGCAGTGAAATATAGAAGTGGAAGTTCTAAACATACCTTTACCTCAACAGCATAAATCAGTCAGGCCCAAAGATCCTAGACATCTGTTTCTAAGCAACATCAGTTATGGTGCTGGTGTTAACCCCTGCCTGGTATAGGAGACTCCTGTCTGTAGGATCCTTGCCTAAGAAATACGCTGTGACACCAAACACTGATCACCTTCAAGAGGAACATTATTTCCTCTTGATAACAGTTCAGTAATGGACCTTGGTTTTAGATTATAGAATTCTGGCAGAGAGGAAAAATAGTAGTCCTTAAGTCTTCCTATCTTGAATGAGATTTTGATATTTCACATTGTAAAAGACTTGGGGATGAGCTAATTTGATACCAGTTATTTTGTTGAGTGAGTTTTCTTCTCATCAGATTTATTCCAAACAAGTATTCTGTAAGTCCAAGTGGATTACCAACGTGCTATAGATTTATAACAGAACAACAGTCTATGTTGAAAATAGTTGCATAGTTAGGTCTTAGTTACTCTCTGAAATATTTTCAAATGTTCTTTACATACAAATTTATGTTGTATTTTTAAAACTTAGGGGCTTTATCTATTTTTCTAAGTCAGTTAACTGTACTTTTAAAAAAAGTATTTTGTATCTACTTTTGTAACTTCCATCAGAATAAAATATATTGAAAGAAAGAAATGAATGATGAAAGTATGTGTCTCAACTCATTTCTATTCAAATCTGGAGACTAGAGGGTTTTGCAGATTCTGGATTTTTGAATAGAGCTTAAATTTGAAACTGATTTTTGGTTATCATTGAGTACCTGAAGTTTTTTTTTTTTTGTTTTTCCCCCCCAACTCTCAGAAAACAGGGTAGTTCTTAAACGAACTAAATATCTAATGCCAGGGTCCCATCCCAGAAAACAAATTATGCTTCAGTTGCAGTGACTGAAATCCATCCCACTGAAAAATAAGTAGTCTTCCTTCCTACCAAGCTAACACAGCTCTTGACTTGTACGTTCCTGGTTATGCAATTTGGGAAGAGAACATTAAAGTAACATTAATTTTCTAACCTTGAAATTGAGTATTCAGCATATCTATAAGATACTTTCCTACTCCCAAACAGCCACTTTTCATTATTATAAGAGAAATAGAGTTGCTCTTAGGTCCAAATTATAGATGATTAATTTTAGGTCTACTCAGAATAGCAGTGCAGAATTGTTTTGACATTTTTGAGTAGATTTAATAAAATTGAACATGAATGTGGCTAAAATATGGGCTTATGCCTATATTTTGTATAAAATATGAGTAAGAAAATTCTGGATTTTTTTGATTTACACTTCAGTAAACTTAAATTCTGTAACAAAAATGTTAAATTTTCAAGGGTATATAATGACTACATGTTTGAAGATATTTTGCAAGAGTAGTAGGAAAACCCAAAAAAATCTTTGGAAGGGCCAGAATTGAGCTCCACAACCAGGAAAAAAAGTCTAACCATGTCTTGGGCCTTCTTCAGTAAATAGCCCATTGCTGTGGACACTGCAGCCTGAACTTTCACTGCTGGCCACTGGATGTCAGTCTTAGCCTCAGACTAGCTACAGTTGATCTGACTAGGAAAAAAGCTTTTTCTGGTGCCCTTTGTGTACCTTTCGAGTCAGAAACTTACATGGGTGCCTCTAGTTGCCATTTCTTCCCTGGCTTGAAGAGGGCCTGAGAAAGAAATTTCTGGATATTTTATTTGGAGTTTCAGAGTTCATAGCAAACTATCTAAAAGACACTGGATGGCCCCAAAGCTTGGGTAGGCTTTCTCTGAGTTTGTTCCTGTTCTATATAAATAGGAGTGGGCCTTCCCTGGTGGCACAGCAGGTTGAAGCACAACATTACAGAAGCTAGCCACAGCCCCTTCAGGATGAGTTTGCTCCACAGCCAGGGGGTAACACATGGTGCAGCAGACCTCTCCTGTCTTACCTGCTGCTCCCCTCAGCTGTGTACTTTGTCAATATGCCTGTTCTGCTCCCTACGCTGTGTCTGGTGACTCCTCTAGTGAACCCTTGTGCCACCAGGGAGGCCCTCGGTTGACTTTTTTAATATATATATATATATATTTTTTTTTACATCATTTTGTACATTTTTTTTTCCATCTCAACTGTAGTCCCCGTGGGTTTCCCATCACTCAGTTGATTTTTTAAAGATTTATTTATGCATATAAGAACTGCAGTA